GAATACAAGTGAAGAAATGAATATCCTAAAGAAGAAATAAAAGTGATGATATCAACGATATTAAAGAATGCAAGTCTATTCAAGAAAAAAATTATAATCAAAAGCTTAAGAAATATAGCAAGAATTGTAAAAAATTACAGCATTTGAGAAAGAGATTAATACAGGGAAATAAAAAAATTCACAAAAAGAAACTGTAGTAGATAATTTTGCTGGTGAAGAAACAAAATTTAAAAGGAAAGAAGTTTGCTGAGAAACAAAATAAAAGACAATCGGAGAAAGATATGCAAAAGGAATAAATCTCGAGAAAATGTAAATATATCTGTAAGCAATCTAAGATAAATGAGGGAATAGACAGATCTCCTAAGAAAGCAATTACTGGTAAAAGAGAGTATCTAAAAAGAAAGAAGATAAAGAAGAAAATTGAAGATATGCAGATAAAAATAAAAGCAAATTATGACAAAAAGAAAAGTAATTCTTTAACATTCGAACCAGGAGAAATAGTAGTTATGAGAAGAGTACCTAAATCAACTGGAGAATCAACCAAAACACAACAAAAATATTGAGGACCTTTGGTAGTTACAGAAGTTTTACCAAGTGATACCTATAGAGTGACTCAGTTAGAAGAGAAGGTGAAAGGACGTTTCTTTAGTACAACAGCTCATGTGAGCCAATTAAGGTCATGGCAGTGTCAAGCTGAATCAGAGGAGGACGATGGTGATGACATTAGTGTTGCTGGGGATAACGATAACACCACACCGCATATTACAAAAATTATGACACAGAAGAAGAATAGAAAACGACAGTGAATCTATATGACAGTTAAAGACTTTCGAACTGTAAACTTTAATATTACAGATTTAATTTTTTAAGACCTTAATGTTCTGAGGTCAGAACAAAGTCAGGATGCCCGAATGTAACATTTTTTTTATTTTTTTTTATTTTATGTATTTTCCCAATTGGCAACAACAATTTTTTTTAGAACAGTAATGTTTCTGAATAAAGCAAGTATCTAACAATTAATGTTTGAAAGAAATATTTTTGAATAAAGGAAGTAATTGCTAACAGTTCTGTTGCAGCAGGGTTGAACTGTAGTTAAGTTTTTAAATATGAGAATTTTGCAAAATAAATGTTAGAAAAAGTAACACTGACTGAAATGAAGTACCAATGTTTTCCAAGTAAAATAAAAATGCTATAAGAAAGGAGTACCTTCATTGGCAGTGAATGAGCAGTGAAGAGTATGACAGCATCCCTTCTATCTTCCTCTGGAATAGAACTCAGCTCTTTTGTGATAAGATCAGCAAAGCACTAAAATTTATAACAGATACAGGTTTTGTACAAAAAAAAAAAGCACCTTCATTTAAATTACAAAATTACATAAATGCAGTCCTACTAATACTATTACATTTAAAATATCTTAGTAAAGGATTTCTAAATTCAAGATTGCTCAAGAAAAAAAAATCTTTATTCACGCTTACAAAATTAATACAAATATATCACTCAATTTTTTTTAATTGATTTTGTTTTGCTTTGAAATGAAAATCATTGACCAACATACAATTTTAAATATTCATAGCAGCTTAAAATATAAAATGCTGTTGCTCAGATTTATTGATAAAAGAGAAATTAACAAAACCCAATAAAAAATATTCACATATTTACATTAGTAAAATTTTGAATACTTGACATGCAGATTCATATTTAAAGCATAACAGCATAAAATCAAATCAAGCCTGAATTTTTTTATTGATTATATTTGTATATCTTTCCTACACAAAGCTGAAAAATTATCATACAAATAAAAATATTCAATATTTTAAAACACAAATACTGAGACAACATTATTTGTTTAATGCTTTCATACATCAATATATTTGGTAGTTACAATATTCAACTACACATTTAATAAAATGCCACATTACATTCCAAATGCCAACTTCCCTGCTTACAATAATCTTTTTTAACGTGGCAACAAGAACATTATGCCATATTTACCACACATAATTTACCACACTGCATCAAATATTCTTTGATAGTATATACCATAGATAATTGTGCTAATTTCATGTGTACTTTTGATGTGCTTATTTCATGAGTTATTTAATCATTTACATATGGAATTCAACCTTTCAACCTCATATGCAAATCCTTTGGGCTAAAATAAGACAACTACAGCTTTCAGCTCTTTATAAAACAAAATTCATAAAATAAACAAAATAAACTTTTACTTAAAAAAATGATTATGAAATCAGAATTAATTCTCTTTCTATCCAACAATAAATACACCAATGTTAAAATGCAAGACTGCTGTTATTTATAATATATTGAAAGAATTTTCTCACAAATAATTTCAAAATCTTCAAATGCTAAGTGTGCATTTTGAATATTCTCATGCAATTTCATTTATTATCTTCATGGAATAATCATACAAAAAAATTCATTAAATCAGAAATACTTGAGATTCAATACTATTTCCTTTTTAAAAAAATTCATACTAATCAATACTTTTCATGACTATCAGCATAGAAATGTTCATCACTTATTTAACATTAGAAATTTTTTTTAACTGATACTTCATTTTATTCATATACAGATGAAAACATTTAATTCTTCAATTTGCGTATAAACCCTAAATATTGTTACGAAATGTACAGGCGCAGTAAGATCGCTTCCCCGCAATGCAGTTTTGGGGTTGCCATAAAATGACAAGGAAATGCATGGTTGCCACATTTGGCGAGAAATCGCCCATATAGTGACGAAAGTGGCAATATTTCATGGACAGATGGAGAACCTTCTGGAACGAATTCTTACCGGTTTAGCCCAAAATGTTCTCGAACCCTGCTGTATAAACCCTGCTGGTATGCAGAGAGTAAGTGGTATTGAGAGTGTGTTTTGTCTAGAGAGTCATTTCCTGCGGAGTCGATCGAGTTTACAGCCGAGCAGCAAGTGCCGAGTGGGTCGTCGAGTGCACCGAAGGAGTCTGTTAGTGTAGCGCGGTTAGTGCATCGTCGAGAGGGCGTGTTGAGCTCTGGGAGCGACTGAACCGAAGAGTCGGGAGCTGTGCTTGTATGCCATTGATTGCATAGCGAGTTGTAGCATGGAGTCTCGCGGGTGCTTTGCAGGAAGCTGTTTCCACCGTTATTGCCTGACGGTGTGAAGGCTGTGTTGCTGATTGTTCCAGCATGTTTATAGTAGATCTTCAAGGACTGTAAAATAGTTTTGGAGCTGTCCTGATTAATATTGATAAATAAAGTGTGTTTCGATACTTCATCAAGGAGAATTGTCATTTTTCACTCCAAATCTGAACAAACTCCATACGACTGTGAAGTGAGGGAAGAAAATAAAGTAACAACTGGTGTCAGAAAAGAAAAATGCAACAATACGATATAAGATTTAAATTTGATCTTTTTTTAATCTAGAAATGCCAAAATATGAACCAAAATTTAATATGAAGCATTTAAAAATTTTTGTAACTGCAAATATATGTCTATGACCAACAGTTTTGAAACTAAAGCCAAATAAGAAGATAAAATGCATAACAGGTACGGATAATCTTATTCAGTGCACTTAAGATATACAAAATAATCTCATAGCTAGTTTCCTCTCAAAACAATAAATTATGGCAAGATAAAATTTAACAAACGATACAAATACTTAAATACTTCTCAGTTTTTCATATAAAATTTAATAAATAAAGTAATTGATTTTTAAGTTTTTAATAAAATTTAATAACAGGCAATACTCAATGTTTATATAAAAGTTTAACCCTCCAAGGGTTATAGACATAAAATTTCGTACAGAAGGATGATAGCTATCTAATTTGTACCAATGAAAATTTCTGTCACATCTTACTAAGTTTGATAGTTTGATTTCAGGTTGTATGTACACTGGAATTTTTGAATTATAATTAAGAAAAAAAAAAAAAAAAAAAAAACACTTGTTCATGATATTTTGGGGAACTTTGAGTTTAAGGCCAAATCTTTGAAACTTCAAAGTTCCCCAATAATGCTTGGAGGGTTTTAATAAAGGCAGTAATTATTTACATTACATATAAAATCAACTTTTTAATTATGTTTTACATCCTAATGGATAGTCTGTGAATGCAAATTAAATCCCTAGCAAAAAAAGTCAGTTGCAGAAGGGGTTCCCCCTCTTTTTAAATCCTAAGCTTCAAATTCAAATCCCTTTAAAACTATATACAAGAGAGTTACTTCTGCCTAAAGTAGAAACAATCCATCTTTTTTAGACATGTATTTTGAAAAAAAAAAAAAAGAAAGAAAGAAAGAAACGAGCTTTTTACTCCCTTGTACGAAGTAAAAAGGAAGTATTGTAATCACAAAAACTTTCAGGCACATCATTTCAACAAAAATATTTATTTTGACCGCTATCAAATGCAGTTTAATGATGTTTTTGTATGACATCTGTATGTAAGGACAGAATGAAAGACTCTTTTCCACCCAAAAAAATTATAAAACTGATTTAAAATGAATTCTGAAGAGAAAATTTTGTGGCGTCTGTACGTACAAACATACATATATCGCATAACTAAAAAATGAGTAGCCTCAGAACGTTGAAATTTTGTATATAGGACTGCTATAACATGTAGATGTGTACCTCGTATTTTGGTTGCAATCGGCCACACCAAACGTATATAGATATATGTACATATACATAGCATATTCAGAAACTAAGTACCGTTTCATTCTAGCACTGTGGTAGGCGTCCCACGCATGCGCACTAGTCTTTCTTCTTCACTGACTTTCAATTGTCGCCATTTTGGTTGCTCTATGTTGTGTTTTCAGTTTGCTGTGCACATTCAAAATGTTTAAAACAATTAGTTTTTCCGCTGACTGTGAGATTCGTGCTATGATTAAATTTTTGAACGCAAGGAATGTTAAACCGGCCAAGATTTATCGTCAAGTGACAGAAGTTTACGGTGAATACGTGATAAGTGATGGAATGGTGAGAAAGTGGGTAAGAATGTTTAATGCAGGTCGAACAAATGTCCACGCCGAGGCTCGGAGTGATCGGCCTTCTGTTGTCACCGATGATTTGGTAAGGAAAGTTGATGAAGCAATTCATCAGAACAGACGCTTCAGAATGACAACTCTTTCAGAGGCATTTCCACAAATTTCACATACTGTTTTGTTCGAAATTGTGTCTGACCGCTTGAATTATCACAAACTGTGTTCCCGATGGGTTCCAAAAATGCTCACTGATGTTCACAAAACAAAGCGACTTGGTAGTGCCCTGACATTTCTCATGCGGTACAGTGATGAGGGAGAAAACTTTTTAAACCAAACTGTGACAGGTAATGAAACTTGAGTGTCTCATTTCACACCAGAATCGAAACAACAATCGATGGAGTGGAGACACACTCATTCTCCGAAAAAACAAAAGTTCAAAGTGACAACGTCATCACAAAAAATCCTGTGCACTGTTTTCTGGGATAGGAAAGGCATTTTGCTTACTGAATTTCTTCCCAGAGGTGAAACCATTAATGCGGCACGATATTGTGAGACTTTAATAAAACTAAGGCGTGCCATTCAAAACAAATGAAGAGGAATGCTCAGTAAAGGAATTGTGTTGCTCCATGACAATGCTCGGCCCTACACTGCTGGTGTCACTCAATTGTTAATTCGACAGTTTCATTGGGAGCAGTTCGATCACCCACCGCACAGCCCAGACTTGGCGCCGTCCGACTATCACTTGTTCCTGCACATGAAGCGCAAGCTTGGTGGCAAACGCTTATTTGGATCTGACGATGACACGAAAAATGCTGTGGAGTCGTGGTTATCGAAACTGGCAGGAAGTTTCATTGACGATGGTATACAAAAACTGGTCACCCGCTATGACAAGTGTTTGATCATTGGCGAAAACTATGTTGAAAAATAGTTTAAGACATGTATTTTCATGTAAAAATGAAATTGGATTCGAAAAAATTGTTTTACTTTTTTTTTTTTTTTTTTTTCAAAATGGTACTTAGTTTCCGAATACGCCTCGTATATCCACTCTGTTAACCGGCTCGGTGATCTCAGTTTCTTTTACTTTTATATGTTTGTAACTTGTGCATTTTTTACTTTAAAAATGATTGGATTATGTTGTTCTTATCTTCTAGTTAAGGTTTTTATGCCTTTAGTAAATCTGCATGCAATATTTGTTGAGTTATCAACAATTTAAAAGTCGTTCAAGTGCAGCTAAGCCTAATTAATTTTGTGATGGCGGACATGTTTGTTTACATTTTAAACTTGGCAAAATAGCAGATTTGTTGCCAATCTAGAGAAACTAAGCTTCACAACAACAAAGAAAATGCCTTCTTTTATTATTGCGAATTAAATCATGTTTAATCCATTCTGGAATTTATTCCAAAATAAGTCTTTAAGATTTACTTCCTAATTTTTCATATAGATATTTTGAGTTTTTATGTATTTTTGCCTCATCGGGAAGTGAAAACTGAATTAATTGAATGAGAAATACTGAATTGTCTGTGAAAAACTGTTTCTTTTTTGGTTTGTTTGCTTCATTTCTTTTATACATTGTTTTAGATTTATTATAGTATTTGAATAGAACATGTGGCAATGATTAGATAATTTATATGCATTCTAAATTACAATAATATGAATGGAATGCAATGGTGTTAAGTGAACCTAGTGCCAGATTTTTGCTATGGTAAACAAACCTAGTGAATTTTAAAGAGTGCATTTATTTTATTTTGGTTTATGCGCTATTGACGAAGTAGATTTAATTCAATACAATAAGTTTAAATGAAATGCAAGAAAAAATGCATATAATTTAATATTCCATGGAAGAAAGTCATGTGATGTATACATCAGATTTTTTTTTTTTTTTTTTTTTTTTCCTTATGTAATGAAACTACATGATGAAAGATGTATGATGGAAATGTTAGCAGTGTCTCAGTGTGTCAGAATAAGAACTGGAAAGTAGTTTTATTTACGCTCGTGAGGTACACTTTAAAATTATTTATGCTTAAGGTGTGCCATGATGTGAAAAAGTTTTGATGGTCAGTGAGTGCTGGCTATAGCAGATACTGGTCCAAGAAACCTAATATAATTAATATGAAAATTTCTATTAACAGCCAGCAATTTAGAGCTTGATGGTACCAACAAATGAAGTATTCACTGTTTGACATTTCAGTTTTTAATGGAAATAACGTCCAAAGTGTCTTTTGCATTAAAGTAAAGCCCTCATATTTAAGATGAGAAATCGCCCAAAAATCTGCTTAAGAGCAAGCACAAAAAAAAAAAAAAAAAAAAAATCTACAGCATTTCAAAGTGTAATTACTTCAATAAGCTTCGGATGAATAGGCCAACGATCAATAAAACTCCATTTCATGGATGATTTATTGTTCAAGTAGTATCGATAAAAAGCATTAAAGCTGCTTCCAGAAGTACTGCAACTGTACTGAGGATACTGAGAGAAAGCAACTGCACGCTGAATTCCATCTCTAAAACAAAATGCGCAGGATTCAGTAAATTTACTTTAACACAAATTTCACACTCAATTCCATTTCAAAATATTTTAAATGCAATATATGACTCATTAAAAATATCTAATATATATTTTCAAAGTGTTCAAAATTTCTTAACATGAAAATACTCTTGAAAAATTTATCAACTGCATTATACACTGACTACCAATAAGTATTTGGACACCTGTGATAGAAAAGAAAATCTAACTTTATTCAAAATCAATAGTTGGTAGAGTCTCCATGAGAGGTAATTACAGCATGGACACCCCTGGGCATACTTTCCACAAGTCTTTGTATGACAGCTAGTGGTAATTTCTTCCACTCGGCTTGGAGAAGACATAGAAGTTCCTTCACCGATTTTGCACGGGTAGTGCACCCCTGAATTCGACGATGCAACTCGTCCCAGAGGTTCTCGATAGGATTCAGGTCTGGACTCTGGGCAAGCCAGTCCATTCGATGAACTCCCCTGGCACCCTACCAAGCCTTGGTTAACGTCAAAACATGACAACTAGCATTGTCATCCTGAAAGTAAAACTGCCACAACATAGGAAGCACATTGTCATCCAAAATAGTGCAGTAGGCATCAGAGTTGAGCTTACCATGAATGGGGACCAAGGGTCCTAGCCCATACCAGGAGAAACACCCCCAGACCATAACTCCACCTCCGCCGAACTTGACTGTTGGCACAATGCATTCTGGCAGGAGATGTTCTCCAGGTAGACGACAGACCCAGACCCTGCAATCCGAACGGTAAAGGGTGAACCTTGATTCGTCACTCCAAAGAACCCATTTCCACTGATCTACGGTCCAATTTCGATGTGCTTTGCACCACATTAACCGAACAGCACGGTTGAACTTTGTGATCAAAGGCTTATGGGCAGCAGCACGACCATGAAAACCAAGCAGATGTGCTTCCTTATGGATGGTATTCATTGAAACAATACTCCGGATGCCTGCTGAAACTCCTCTGATGAGGCCATCGGTTGGGTGCGGTTCTCGAATTTCTCTGGACGCACTCGTCAGTCTCTATCTCCCAGTTCGTTGGTCTGCCGACTTGCACATTCGACAATCACCGCTCACCTTCCACTTCTTAATCACATAGGCACTGTCGAATTGGGTACTCAGATCGCTAGATATGTCCCTTAAGGATCGGCCACATTTGTGATACCCGATATTATACCTTTCTCGAAAAGAGAGCTCCGAACTGCGAGGCATCTCGATGCGACTAAAGCCAATGCTGTTTCCTACACGATATATACCGGCGGAGTCCGTGATGTACCTTAGGACCGCAGATATCGTCAATTGCATAGGTGTTCAAATACTTATTGGACAGTGTATATCACATTACAGTTATGAATATTATCACATTAGTCAGTGTATATGACATAACAGTAGTTCTTCCTAACTTATCACGGTATTTTCTGACTACATGCACCCTTACCAAAAGGTATCAAAATTTGGTGACACCTTCGGATAGCATTTGTAAACTCATAGCCAACTTTGGAGCTAAGCATTTGTTTTGTGTGCCTTTATTGTTCCAACATTGCATCCAATACTGCCTATTTGTACATGTAAAAGTATCTTGTTTTTTCGCAATGTTCCCCACATATACAGTGATAAGTTTTTGCTAAAAAGAAAAAGAATTAGACAGAATTCAGAAATCAATGTAGTTAATGTAGTTGTGTGTAATGCATTGGTATGTTGTCATTATTTAACCTTTTCCAATGCAAATATTTCTCCATTACCTGCACTTTATTATTTTAAAGAACAAACATCCTGCACATTGGGAATCTAATCTTGTTCAACTCCCAGTAGATACTTATGGATATTTTCATATTATTTTCGGGAAACCTTAAAATATCCTCCAGATTTTTTTCTTAAATAATTTAAAAAAAAAAAAAAGAATTAGACAACAAATTATCTTAATTTTAGAATTTCTTTAGAATTTCAAAAGTGTAATCCACATGTAGTTGTGTGTAATGCATTGGTATGTTGGTCACATGGTTGTTTCACAAGTACACAGTTTATTAAGATAACTTTTGCGTGAATCTTGAGATGAACCCATTTTAACCCTGAAAAACTGAAGGTTCTGAATATTGAGAATCCTAAAAACAAAAAAAAAAAAGGAAAAAAGATGCTTGCCTTTAAGCAAGCCACATTATGTTCTACATATGCAGATAGCAAGTCAAAAATTTCGGCAAAGAACATGAAAGTATGTGGTGTACTAAAACACTAAAATTCTCATAGGAGGGGGATCACGATCAGCAATCATGCTGCAAAAATGTGGGAGAAGTGGAAAACCATCTGGGAGGATGCTACACTTGTAACTTGGTAGAAATGCAAAACTGGATTGTCACATAAACACTTTTTGGAAACTGGTGCCCTCCCTCATCAAAACATTTTTACAACTTTTTTTGGTATGAGTGCAGATAATCAAAAATTACCCTTATCTGCCTTTATAAAACATAGTTTAAAAAACAAAATTATATGCATATGCAATAGTAAATTATAGGCATTAACAACTTATACCAAAAGAGGAGCAAAATGAAAGAGGTAAAGGACAGTAATGGTCACCTTAGACTGTTAGACCATAGTAGAAGATAAAGTATTATGTTAATATATAATTAAAAGAAGCTTTCATTCTACACTTTAAAATAATTCTTATTATTTAAAGAAATAGGCAAGATTTACTTCATGGAGCATTTCAGATTGATTTGCTAATAATTTTTAGGTTAAAAAAAAATTCTTGAAAATGCGATTTTAATGGAATATTTTTTTTTTTTTTTTAATAACATGTTTTTCTTTAAAATTAAAATATCTGATGGAAATACAAAACTGTAACAAAGTAATAATATACCCAAGAAACTATATAAATCTACATACTTTAAATATTTCCATAAAGCAATCATTTAAAAATTAAAAAGTTCCCCTTTCCCAATATTTCATACACATTATATTTAATATTTTTAGTATGAAAAAAATTATTTAACCTTTTCCAATGCAAATATTTTTCCATTACCTGCACTTTATTATTTTAAAGAACAAACATCCTGCACATTGGGAATCTAATCTTGTTTCAACTCCCAGTATGATACTTATGGATATTTTCATATTATTTCGGGAAACCTTAAAAAATCCTCCAGATTTTTTTTCTTAAATAATTTTAAAAAAAAACAGAATTAGACAACAAATTATCTTTGAATTTCAAAAGTGTAAATCCACATGTAGTTGTGTGTAATGCATTGGTATGTTGTCACATGGTTGTTTCACCAAGTACACAGTTATTAAGATAACTTTTGTGTGAATCTTGAGATGAACCCATTTTAGGCCCTGACAAAACTGAAGGTTCTGAAATATTGAGAATCCTAAAACAAAAAAAAAAAAAGGAAAAAAGATGCTGCCTTTAAGCAAGCCACATTATGTTCTACATATGCAGATAGCAAGTCAAAAATTTCGGCAAAGAACATGAAAGTATGTGGTGTACTAAAACACTAAAATTCTCATAGGAGGGGATCACGATCAGCAATCATGCTGCAAAAATGTCGGGAGAAGTGGAAAACCATCTGGGAGGATGCTACACTTGTAACTTGGTAGAATGCAAAACTGGATTGTCACATAAACACTTTTTGGCAACATGGTGCCCTCCCTCATCAAAACATTTTTACACTTTTTTGGTATGAGTGCAGATAATCAAAAATTACCCTTATCTGCCTTTATAAAACATAGTTTAAAAAACAAAATTATATGCATATGCAATAGTAAATTATAGGCATTAACAAACTTATACCAAAAGAGGAGCAAAATGAAAGAGGTATAAGGACAGTATGGTCCACCTTAGACTGTTAGACCAGTAGAAGATAAAGTATTATGTTAATATATAATTAAAAGAAGCTTTCATTCTAGCACTTTAAAATAATTCTTATTATTTAAAGAAATAGGCAAGATTTACTTCATGGAGCATTTCAGATTGATTTGCTAATAATTTTTAGGTTAAAAAAAAAAATTCTTGAAAATGCGATTTTTAATGGAATAATTTTTTTTTTTTTTAATAACATGTTTTTCTTTAAAATTAAAATATCTGATGGAAATACAAAAACTGTAACAAAGTAATTAATATACCCAAGAAACTATATAAATCTACATACTTTAAATATTTCCATAAAGCAATCATTTAAAAATTAAAAAAGTTCCCTTTCCCAATATTTCATACACATTATATTTAATATTTTTTAGTATGAAAAAATTATTTAACCTTTTCCATGCAAATATTTTCCATTACCTGCACTTTATTATTTTAAAGAACAAACATCCTGCACATTGGGAATCTAATCTTGTTTCAACTCCCAGTATGATCTTATGGATATTTCATATTATTTCGGGAAACCTTAAAAAATCCTCCAGATTTTTTTCTTAAATAATTTTAAAAAAAAAACAGAATTAGACAACAAATTATCTTGAATTTCAAAAGTGTAAATCCACATGTAGTTGTGTGTAATGCATGGTATGTTGTCACAGGTTGTTTCACAAAGTACACAGTTATTAAGATAACTTTTGTGTGAATCTTGAGATGAACCCATTTTAGGCCCTGACAAAACTGAAGGTTCTGAAATATTGAGAATCCTAAAACAAAAAAAAAAAAAAGGAAAAAAGATGCTGCCTTTAAGCAAGCCACATTATGTTCTACATATGCAGATAGCAAGTCAAAAATTTCGGCAAAGAACATGAAAGTATGTGGTGTACTAAAACACTAAAATTCTCATAGGAGGGGATCACGATCAGCAATCATGCTGCAAAAATGTCGGGAGAAGTGGAAAACCATCTGGGAGGATGCTACACTTGTAACTTGGTAGAATGCAAAACTGGATTGTCACATAAACACTTTTTGGCAACATGGTGCCCTCCCTCATCAAAACATTTTTACACTTTTTTGGTATGAGTGCAGATAATCAAAATTACCCTTATCTGCCTTTATAAAACATAGTTTAAAAAAACAAAATTATATGCATATGCAATAGTAAATTATAGGCATTAACAAACTTATACCAAAAGAGGAGCAAAAATGAAAGAGGTATAAGGACAGTATGGTCCACCTTAGACTGTTAGACCAGTAGAAGATAAAGTATTATGTTAATATATAATTAAAGAAGCTTTCATTCTAGCACTTTAAAAATTCTTATTATTTAAAGAAATAGGCAAGATTTACTTCATGGAGCATTCAGATTGATTTGCTAATAATTTTTAGGTTAAAAAAAAAAATTCTTGAAAATGCGATTTTTAATGGAATAATTTTTTTTTTTTTAATAACATGTTTTTTTTCTTTAAAATTAAAATATCTGATGGAAATACAAAACTGTAACAAAGTAATTAATATACCCAAGAAACTATATAAATCTACATACTTTAAATATTTCCATAAAGCAAATTTAAAAATTAAAAAGTCCCCTTGCCCAATATTTCATACACATTATATTAATATTTTTAGTATGAAAAAAATTATTTAACCTTTTCCAATGCCAATATTTTCCATTACCTGCACTTTATTATTTTAAAGAACAAACATCTGCACATTGGGAATCTAATCTTGTTTCAACTCCCAGTATGAACTTATGGATATTTTCATATTATTTCGGGAAACCTAAAAAATCCTCCAGATTTTTTTTCTTAAATAATTTTAAAAAAAAAAGAATTAGACAACAAATTATCTTTGAATTTCAAAAGTGTAAATCCACATGTATTTGTGTGTAATGCATTGGTATGTTGTCACATGGTTGTCACATGAACCCATTTTAGGCCTGACAACTGAAGGTTCTGAAATATTGAGAATCCTAAAACAAAAAAAAAAAAGGAAAAAAGATGCTGCCTTAAGCAAGCCACATTATGTTCTACATATGCAGATAGCAAGTCAAAATTTCGGCAAAGAAACATGAAAGTATGTGGTGTATAAAACATAAAATTTATAGGAGGGGATCACGATCAGCAATGTGCGCAAAATGTCGGGAGAAGTGGGAAAACCATCTGGGAGGATGCTACACTTGTAACTGGTAGAATGCAAAATGGATTGTCACATTAAACACTTTTGGCAAAATGGTGCCCCCTCATCAAAACATTTTTTTTGGTAGGTGCAGATAATCAAAAATACCCTTATTGCCTTTATAAAACATAGTTTAAAAAACAAAATTATATGCATATGCAATAGTAAATATAGGCATTAACAAACTATACCAAAAGAGGAAGCAAAATGAAAGAGGTATAAGGACAGTATGGTCCACCTTAGACTGTTAGACCAGTAGAAGATAAAAGTATTATGTTATATATAATTAAAAGAAGCTTTCATGCTAGCACTTTAAAATAATCTTATTATTTAAAGAAATAGGCAAGATTTACTTCATGGAGCATTTCAGATTGATTTGCTAATAATTTTTAGGTTAAAAAAAAAATTCTTGAAAATGCGATTTTAATGGAATAATTTTTTTTTTTTTTTTTTTTAATAACATGTTTTTCTTTAAAATTAAAATATATGATGGAAATACAAAACTGTAACAAAGTAATTAATATACCCAAGAAAACTATATAAAGCACAGACTTTAAATATTTCCATAACAGCAATCATTTAAAAATAAAAAGTTCCCCTTTCCCAATATTTATAACATTATATTAATTTTAGTATGAAAAAAAATTTAACCTTTTCCAATGCAATATTTTTCCATTACCTGCACTTTATTATTTTAAAGAACAAAATCCTGCACATTGGGAATCTAATCTTGTTTCAACTCCCAGTATGATACTTATGGATATTTTCATATTATTTGGGAAAACCTTAAAAAATCCTCCAGATTTTTTTCTAAATAATTTTAAAAAAAAAACAGAATTAGACAACAAATTATCTTTGAATTTCAAAAGTGTAATCCACATGTAGTTGTGGGTAATGCATTGGTATGTTGTCACATGGTTGTCACATGAACCCATTTTAGGCCCTGACAAAACTGAAGGTTCTGAAATATTGAGAATCCTAAAACAAAAAAAAAAAAGGAAAAAAGATGCTGCCTTTAAGCAAGCCACATTATGTTCTACATATGCAGATAGCAAGTCAAAAATTTCGGCAAAGAACATGAAAGTATGTGATGCACTAAAACAGGATCTAAATTTAAACTAAACAGGATCTAAATTTTGTCAGGATCTAAATTTAAACTAAACAGGATCTAAATTTTGTCATATTCACTCAAAGTCTTTTAGATCTTATTGGACATACAAGCGAATTATCGTTTATCTAACTATTATAAAAGTGCCTTGAGAAGGTTTAAATTACTTTTATATTCACTCCTGAAGTCTTGAAATGAACAGAAAGCATGACATGCATGTACAAATAAACTCTTCTCCTTTTGAGTATTTAAAATAATGGAGGTAAAATTTCAGATTAACAGTATTGTAGTCAGAGACTACACAAAGTGGCCTACTTAAGTTGGCTCAAAACTTCAATGCCACACATTAACATTCAATTGCAAAGCTGGGTGATAGACCATAAACAGGAGGTGTCACTGCCTCTCTATATCTATAATTCAAAATTCTCAACTTGAATGCATTGCGATCTAATTTGCATCCTGGTGAGGGCTATGGAAAGGAGAAGTTATAGTAAAGGTTTAAATCATTATCATTGGTTAATTAATATAAACTACTTTACAAGTTACTTTACCATAATAAATAACCTTCTAGCCTAATTTACCTACTAATTACCTAAATTACATACCTAATTAATACTACTAAATTAATTTTAAGGTAGTGCCAAATATATGAAACATTTTTATTCAAATTCAGAAATTAACTGTCTCACAGGAAAATTAATTTAATGTATAAAGAAAAACTAAATTAAAAAATTAAGCAGATATACAAACATAAAGTACACTGTAAAACAAGCTTTACCACTTCCAGGAAAATTAATCTTATCTATATATGATAATGACAAATTAAAAAATGACAAAGAGGAATATAATGAGAACTGTAATACAAACTTTTCCATTTCAGCTAAAGTATTCTCCATTAAAGGTTTGGCATAACGGAAACCAACATAATGCTCGTGAGGAGCTGAAGAAAGAAACGTATTAATAATTACCAAAAAAACTGATAAAATTAATTTATATTCATATACAATGGTATTGTTCTGTTATCCAGACCCAATTCAGAAATGTATGAATGTATGCGCATGTGTATCTATGTATTTGCATACATGTTTATATGTATACACACATACATTCGAGCTTACATATATGTATGCATACATGAACACATTCATCCATCCATACATATATAAATACATTTCTGGATCTGGTCTTGATAACAGAACAGACTCTATATAATTTTGATGGTTACAAAAAAAAAAAAAAAAATCAACAAATATTTAGCAGAGAATAAGATATCAAGCTCACAGATTTTGATCACTAACATGGATGTTCAAAAGGAAGCCTTTTGGGTTCAGAACAATATTTAGATTAGAAACATGATTTTGGTTTTATGGACCGATGCATTTCTATGCATAAATAGATATCACTTTCACACGCACCACATTGATTTACAAGCTTAATTCCTACTGTACTGTAGGTAACATGTGACAGCTAGAATACTCTAAAGGCCCATCTACATGAAGTGATTTTCCTCAGCCGACTTTCTGGTAGAGCAACAATTTTAAGCATCTGTGCATGCACCAAAAATCGGTCATGTTCTCTGCCATGATTTCAAAACTAGTGTTCAATGCTCACTAGCATACAATAAAATCAGAGTCTCTATACAATAAGATTGCTTTGAGTGATCACATGCTTTTCTCCTCATTTTGGAATAAATAATAAACATTGCTGTATTTCATTTGAGCGAAACTCAAATTTTTCAACTAATAGATTTCTATAGAGAAAATGTTGTGTTGTGGGACATGAGTAAGGTAAATAAAAGAATAAAAAATTAAGAATTTCTCTTATTTTGGTAAGCTTTGTCTTCCCCATTACTTTACATATTCAAATATTTTCTATTCAGGGTGAACATTGTTTTAACTCCCCCAAGAAAAGTTCCAAAAACTATTAATGATGCCATGTCATGGGTACTAGATGAAAATACTCAGAAACTACTTGAAACTATGGTCACACTTATTGAAAAAATTCAGAAAGCAAAATCTCCAGTCGAGAAATTGTGCGCCGGATTTAAAGCAGCGTAGAGACTCATTCACTTCATAGAAAATGGGGAAAATGGGAGTTAATCATGTGACGAATTACATAGCATTTTCAACAAACCCTATACAAGCAATCGTGGCTCAGTGGTAAAGAGCACAGCAGGTTTTTCTCCCAACATCGAGATCGTGGATTCAATAGCCCACCTTAATTTAATGGACTTTGCGCCTGCAATGACTTCTTAATTTCGTTTCTCCGTCACTAAATTCGAACTGCATGACTTAAAAGTCACTTTTTATTTTTTCGCCTACAGGTGTGGTGTTTATTGAATTTGAACCCCTTTCTTTTTATTTTTCGAATGGCCTTTGGCACGTGTTTTAGATATGTTGGTGAAAACTCTTTAGTAGTTGCATACCAGCTCAAAAAGAAAGTCACTCAGTTTTGTGTTAATTGAGTTTAGTGTAAACAAATTACAGCCCAATTTAATATAATATCGCTATACTTTATTAGCTGAGTAACTGATAGAGTCATATGATCATAGTTTTCAGACTGTATTAGTTATTTATTAAGCTGATATTAGTTTTTTAATGTTCAATAATATGTTACTTAACACTTTGTACTTTTATAATATTTCTTATTTGAAATTTGTGCACTTAAATTACACTGTTGCTTTAATGTAGCAATCTTTATTCTTTATTACTACTTTTTACTCATACTGGTTTGATTTTCATAACATTATTGTCTATTTATTTAGTAATAAAGGTTTTGATTTAAAGCACAGTAGTTACTTATTTTTTCTGAAACATGGTTATTTTATTATTTCAAGATTTAAATGCACAAACAGAAGTGCCAGAAAATGAAATTTAAAAAGAAAAGGAGCAATCTGCACACTTAGGGCACAAAAGGAAAAGCATAACTGTTTTTTAATTTTCCTGCAAACTAAATTTAGCAAAAAATCAAAATCACATGGCATCATCCATAAATACTTTCCGAATTCCACCGTGTCTTCAATATCCAACTCCCAGAGCAGGGTATTACACACACCATGAATTTCTCGTTGTGTGACCCAATTTCTGGTCCAAACGTATTTTCTTTTTTTTTCCCTTCTGCAGCAGTAGCTAAGTTCAAAATTGTAGCTGTAGCTAAGTTCAAAATTGTAGCTGTAGCTAAGTTCAAAATTGTAGCTGTAGCCATAGTATGAATTTAAAGTAAAACAGTCATCCATTATTTTGACTATTTGACAACACTATAAGCTTTGTTTACAAATTATAGACAAAGTGAGTAATAGAGGGTGGGAACACTTCCTTTCACAGCGACTGGCAGAGTGAATTCCTGTACTAACGAGAAAATCATTCCGTGTGGACAAGCGAGCTATCTCAGATATTGTCGGTCAGCTAAGTCAGTTGAAGAAATCACTATGCGTAGACGGGCCTTAAATCATGCATTGTATCACATGAGGCACCAAAAATCAGTTCTTTCTGACAATCTGCATTTCCTCTTTGCAGATAGTCAAATTATTCACAAAGCAATGCACTGTATCACCAAAATATATTTATATGACAACCAAGGTATGCTCAATCATGCAGCAGATGAGTGTGTACTTCCACCTTCAAATTCAATGGTTCATTTCATTATCGGTATTTGTTTTTGCATTGAGTACATTTTTTTTTTATGGTAAGGAATTATAATTGGGGGTGTGGGGGTTTGCCAGCTCATGAAAAAGAAAGCATTGTCTTCCTTCAGAAATATGGTATTTCATCCAATAGAATAGAATACAAACATTTGCATTCCATAAAGCTATACTTCTTAATCGATCAAATTTTATGGATCGAAATTTGTGGACAAAGCCAAATTTGTGATAGTATATTTTTTTTAACCATATCACTCTATACACAGGAAAAACAAGTATGAGTGCAATGCCAAATTTGACAACACTATGATGCTTTTTAAGTGAGAATAGATAACAACTCTTTGCGTACATAGGGTGAACATAAAAACACAAAAATGTAAAAAACTACATAAGAATTTCTAGGAAAAAGTGGTGTTTTATTACAGATGTTTGCCTTTTTTTATTTTATTGATTTTTTTTACAGAATTTTCAGAGAATCCCCTTTTTCAAAATGGCTGTTGCTTTTCACATATTAGCTTGACAAAAAGTTAGTCAGGAATGAGTTGGCAACTTTTAAAAGTGAGGTACAGGTAATCAAAAAGTACCAAAAAATTTATTAATATAGGCTGTATTTAAATAATGCTGTTTATATTTTCTTAAAAAAATTGATTTAAAATAAAAAAAGGCAATTGAAACTCATTTCAAAAAAATTATAAATGTACGTTTGAATTTTAAAATAGATTTTCTTCATTTTTTTTTTTTTTTAATCATGATTTTTACATGCACTGCTAAACTCACAGTTGAATTTTTGATTTTAATAACTCTACATTACTGTGATTAATATGTGGTTGTGATTCTTGCAAGATTCTAATATAACAGTACTTGACTGTAATTTATTATTTATATGATTGTAACATACATGATATATGACGAAACTCAAGAATTAGTAATTACAATGAACATAATATATTTCATATTTTTAATTTATTCATAACTGAGAGCAGGTTTTTCATAAATATATTCAACTGACACATATAATTACTTATATATAAATTTAAGACTAGCTAAACAGTAATTTACACTTTTATTATTCAAAATCTGCACCAGATTAAGTAAAAGGTTGCTTATTGCCTAATTGTAAATAGTTGACTAAAATAAAAACCAAGCAGTTTGGTGACTTAATTCCTTACTGACATTTTTCAGTCACTTGGTATTTTTTAAAATTTATAAATTTATTTTGACCTTATTTGGAGAATTTACTTTACGGTTTGAAAAATGCATTCTATAATATTTTGGTAACATTTGTGGGATTCTTGATCATGGTAAATGACATATTTTACATGTTTTCATATACAAACAAATGGGACTTTGGTAATTTGACAGTAATATCCAAATGATAACATTAACCATGATCACATTAAACGGCATTAACTGTACTGTTTACTACTTCGTGCTGAAGTTCGTATTAAATATATTGTATTAGACTTACATATGTGACTTCTCTCTTTTTAAGAGAAATACAAAAAAATATTTATATTCTTTTAAATAGTATGGGTTCTTTTAATAGCCCTAGGAAATTGAGTAACATAGTTTTGTTCCTTTGCAGAATCTAGTGACTCAAAACCTTTCAAAATTTGATGACACAACACTTACATGCAGAAGAATTTACAGGTACCTTTAAATTTGAAATACTTCTCTTTGTCTGAGTTTCATTCTCATTCACATCACATCATCTCACACCATTAGAGTTTCCCTTCATAAGTTCGAATCCTGTCGACTACACCATGGATGGTATTTATATGTATTAACTCTCTATTTTTCTTCCTTTATTGAGGAGCGCATTCAGTTTTTTTCCTGTCTAACCATTGAAATAAATTATATACAGTATTAGGCGTTTAGCTTATGTTTTGGCCAACAGATATCGTTAGTTGTCCACTAAATTGCGGCATTTGAAGGCACGTAGTATTAGCGCTCAAACTTCACTTTTTTGCCACTTTCTTCTTACAGAAATGGCTGCTAGAAAATGTTCAGCGATATTATCTTGATTATTTAATGAAATTATTGAATTATTAATTAGATTTATTGATTATATTAATAATTAGATTGATTATTAATTAGATTTATTGAATCTGGTGCAAAGACTGTGAAGTTGGACTTGAACCCTGTTTTGAACTCTATCATACTAAACTGCATTTCTAAGGTATTTTCCCTCACCACTTTATATTTTCTTAAATTTTATACATTTATTTTTTTATATTATGCAATAAATAGAAATAACTGTAAATCGACTGAAATTTATTTTTAAAAAAGTTTTTTTTTTTTTTTTTTTTTTTTTTTTTTTTTTGGTGAGAACATCAGAAATTGGTTTTTCTGGCCACTTAGTTTCTCATGATAAAAATCTATATAAAAAATATTTTCTAGAAAGAAAAAGTGCATTTTTTAATTCTCCAATATACATAGATTTAAAATATTGAAGAAAAAAAAAAAAGAAAAAAAATTTTTGGAAGCGATTTCAGTCCACAAATTGAGCAGTCAGAGGGTTAATAATGGAAATGAGGATTACACCAATATCGGCTGAACATTATGTATTGTACACTACTAGCTATTGTTGTACAATAAAATTACAATTGCATATATTATATTACAGATACAATTACATATGTGACAGATGTGATTGAAAATTTATGAAAAATGCAAATATATCTCAAATAGAACAGTAATTTTTTTACTATTATATGCCACAAATTTTAACACTTTTTATTTACAAACCCCGTAAATAAAATAGGGACTGTATAGGTAGAACAAACATTTTATTGAACTTAAATCTCATTATATATTTTTAATATGATCGCTAACAATGTCTTTTCTCTTTTACTAAATCCATGAGGGCCATTGAATACAATCACCAAAGTGTTTTCTTTTGATCCCAGCGGTGGAATATGAATGGAATTAAAATGTTCCACATAGTTTGATGGCATACCCCAATATCTACCATTCATCGTTTAACTGTCAAAGCATTAGAATGGTCAGCAGTGGATACCTCATATTGTTTCTACCTGCTCATTAGGAAATGGTGGGCAACCTGTGCAGGCCAAATGTTCTGACCATCCCAATTCAAATTAAACATGCAAACCCATCTTTCAAGCTGATATATGGTAACACATAATTGTCATAGTCTTCAAGTAACTTTGAACAACTTGAGAACTTTCCTATGCAGTTTTGTCATGGGTTATTAGGACTTTTAAATAAAACTGCTCTTCAGATTTTGTAAGCATGCTATAGTGTGGTACCCATTACACTCTTTGCTTCAAACTTGCATTTTAATGCTGCCTGTATGCAACACTAATATTACACGCTAGCAAGCACAAGGGCATGTGCATGATCTTATTATGTTGTCACTACTTTATTTACAACTTATAAGTATCTATTCATTTTACCTATTAAGAACTGTTCTATTCCCTTTCATGTGATAAAATGTAGGAAACTTAGGATATTTATTGCCTGATTTAACTTAGATCTATTTATTTATTTATCTTTTAAGTATTTTATTGTAAACTTTAAAATATATAATGTAAAAGGACTTGCTTTTTAAAAAACGGATATTGAGGATGGTAAGATAAAAAGGTGTGGCTATTAATTTTCAGGACTGCTCTAATAAAACCAGAACATATGATGTGAAAAACATAGCCTTTTAATATGTTTCGAAGTAATCCCCATCTGCCGTAACACATTTTTGTGCTCGGCTGTATAAGTTGTGGAAACGATTTTTAAAGTCCTCTTTCAGAAAGCTCTTCAATGTCAGCGTCACATTCTTCTTGATGTCTTCAACATCCATAAAGCGTGTTCCTTTGATCACAGTTTTGAGTTTGGAAAACAAAAAGAAGTCTGCAGGAAGCAAATCAGAAGAGTATGATCGAACATTTCCAAACTCAAAACTGTGATCAAAGGAATACACTTTGTAGATGTTGAAGACATCAAGAAGAACGTGACGTCGACATTCAAGAGCCTTCCGAAAGAGGACTTTAAAAGTTGTTTCCACAACTTATACAGCCAAGCACAAAAGTGTATTATGGCTGATGGGAATTACTTCGAAACATATTAAAAGGCTATGTTTTTCACATCATCTGTTCTGCTGTTATTAGAGTAGTCCTGGAAATTAATAGCCATACCTTGTATGATTGTAGATGATAAAGAAACATTCTCAGAATTAGGAATTTAATCTATAAAGCTTAATTTCTATTATTTTCTGAAGCTTAATTTATATATAGTATTTAAGAATGTTTAAAATTTCTTTATGTTTTTAAAATCATTTTTGAGACCATATATATAAATGCTTTAAAAGTCCCTATTTGGGCTGAATCAGTTGTCTTTTTCAGTTCTAATATCTGCCCTCCCACAAACTTTTTCCTTTGTTAAAAATGCACTTTTTAATTTCTATTTTTTATTTGTATATTTGTCGAATCAAAATAGATTCCTGGTTTATAATCCTAAATAAATTCTTAAAAAAGCCAAGTGATTGAAATATGTCAGTCACCAAACTACTTGGTTTTTATTTTAGTCAATTAAATTAAAATTAGGCAACAAGCAACCTTTTACTTAATCTGGTACAAATTTTGAATAATTTTGTTCATTCTGAGAGTGATCAGAGGTCACTGTTCTTCATATAGAAGAAGATGGCAGAGGATAGAAGGCAGTGACTTTCTGAAACAAATCCAAGCACATCAAGTAATAAAATTTCAGAATATAAAAATGAAACCAATTAATTCCCTATAAATGCTGATATAATGGACACTCTCTGAGTGTTAATATTAAAGGTATAGCATCAGTCAAAGAATTCAAAAAATTTTATAAACAGTTGATAAATTAACTTTTGATCCATGTAAACTATTAATAATACTTTTCCTAGTTAAAATGTTGTAAAAATAAGTATTAATATATTTCTACTTATATTTATATTAAATTAATTATATTGGTACTCTGAGTTTTTTTTTTTTTTTTTCATTTAATGTTATCAAATAGCTATGGAAAAATTTAACCACATTAAGCAGCACCTAGTGTAGTGTAGAACAAACAATGCCCAGCTGATCCTGGTGTAATCCTTATTTACACTTATAATACATATTTATATGTATTTAGTAAGTAGAAATAAGAACAATATCACACATTTTTTATTAAATGTATCCGTAAGTAAACAATGAAATGTAATAAAAATGTAGCAGTTATAAATTACCTGTGTTTGGACTTATCTTGTCCAATAATTCTGTCATTAATGTTCCTTGTAAGTTAGTCCATTTCAAAATAGGTGATCCACCACCTATCTGACTATATTTTTTAGCTACACCTGGTGCTCTTTTTCTAGCAATAAGAGGTCCAACTTTGCTAAAAGTACAAATTTTTAAATTGAATGACTATTAAGTTACATATATAGATAGCAATTTATAATAAAACACATGCAGTCATAAAGTTTACTTTACAGTACAAAGTCTTTAATCCGGACTCGTTGGGACTTCGGCGATTCCAGATTACCGATTTTTTCCGGATTTAGATCATCAATTTAAATCGGTAAAATGGCATGCAGAAATTATAAATTAAAAATATGAAATATTTATGAAATAAAGAGCAATTATGATCAAAAGGGTATCAAAATTTACAAAAGAAAAAAGATTTAATATTCTTTGTTTACTTTATTAAACATTCTTTCAGGTAAGTTTGTTTCGTTTTTTGTGCTAATACTTTCTCTTTAATTCTATAAACAGACAATTTCTTGTTCAGTTCCACTATTCAAGTCCTGTAATTGCTGTGTCGAGAATACCGACTAACTTGTCAATCGAAATTTTTTCGTTTTCAATAACCTCTCTGTTACTTTCTGCACTATCGAAGCGGTTACATCAAAACATGCTTTCACTTTGTAGATCCTTTGGAGCTCCAGAATCGGAAACTTTTTTTGAAATAATCGAAAGTTCAAGCTTCTTTTTATAAATTGCTCTAATAGTCTGCAAAAATAATAAGCGGATCCAATATAAGATTAAGGAACAAGAAATCTGCACATTAACTGAAATAGATAATTACATAATTTTAGCCTAACTTATACCATCCGTTATACATTAAACGCCCATGCGTAAACGCATTAGAGGTCCGGATTAAAAACTTTGTTCTGTATACACTTAAATTTTGAATATTTATCACTTCCTTCAATCCCATGCTTCAGAAAGCTTTTTAATGCAAATTATAAGAGAAATAAAAGCAGCTGAAAACTGAAGAAAATGATTATTACTGAGTTAATATGACCCATAACTCCATTAGTACTATTTTTTTAATTTTACTTTTTGCAAACAACATTAACACTACAGCTACCAGCATAGAACTGTACCTAATTTTAATCAGAAAACATAAGAAAACAGAAGATAGAATTTTTAATTGAAATATGTAACATTAAAATAGTTTACCTTAGAATTACATCAGTTTAACTTCTAATGCAATTAAGAGCATAAGACTTAATTTTACTCATTTTAATTGTAAGCAAGTTTCGTAGATTCTACTCAAGAAATTTTTACACACATCGAGCTGCTAAATTACCCTTTTACCTCAATCTCTTCAACTTATGAGAAACAACATCTGAAAGTTAATGTCAATAAATTGCTCAATTTTTAATAAATATAAGTTTGCATGAAAACTGAATATAATTTAAACATTACAGCTAAAGCAATTACCAAGTTCTTATTGAACATCTTTGGTTTTAAATGTTAACTGAATACAGATATTTACGATTGAGTTGTAAGAATTCCGAAGTGAAAGTTGTAGAGTCCATTTATACTTTTGCAAAATGAAAATGTAAGAATTTTTTAAATGTGAGAAATATGCAATGCCCTTAATGGGAATCAAACTCTGGACCTTCCAATGCTAGCCAGATTTGCTTTCCATTTACATCACAAAGAGACACAAAAGATAAAAACCTTACATTTTCTCCCACACCAAAGGCAGCTGGTGAGAAGAGAAGCCAATCATTTAATCCTGGAGGTGAAAAATTAACCTCCACTACTTTTTTATTTGGATGCCCCTTGTAGAGACCATTTATAATTTAGTCAAGCAATGTTCTCACTGGGACTCAATACACCCGTGAAGGCACATGGTAGGGAAGGAGAAAATACCTTACATTATTAATTTACATTACATTATTAATTTTCCAGTTGCCCTTTTATAGGGCAACTAGGAAAAAGCGGACAAAATCGTCAAATTCTGATGTTACAAATTATCGTCTATCACCTTTTAGTTCAGGCACTGCTTGTAGAGTCATTAGGTTTGTCATAGCAAGACACATGAAAAATGTGCAATGCCCTCACTTAGATTAAAACTCTGACCTTCCAGACAATCTTTCCAATTATACTGAGAAGGCATGCAATAAGGAGGAGGGGGGAACATTACAAAGTCATATCCAAATTAACAATGAAATGATCTGAATGAAGTCTATAATATGTGTTCAACCGAATGGAGAACATTTCTATCATCACTAGAGATCTGTTACCTGATGCAGTAATTACTTCACAGATACTTCTTGTACATCTATATTAAATTACAACTATGACACATTATCATACTACTTCATAGAAAAACTAAGTAAAGAAAGATAAGAAATGCTCATACAAAAAGTCATCCGGACACATTTACAGTATTTAAACGTTTGTCTACATAAAAAACTTCAGCTATTAGTATAATGCTATTTGATACTTTGAAAAGACTTCACGACTAATTTTAATCCTGTTCATACTGTAAAAATTGGTTTAAAAATTCTATTTTTTTTTACTCCAATCTAATACCAGTCAAGAATTATACAGAAAATTCAGTTACAGCATCACAACCCCACATGTTACATAGTTAACCTCACGTCAGTCAAATAATTATGCATATTCATAAGTGCAGAAGTTGAACATATAATAAAACACAAATAACTTGTGCCCTCCTAGCAAAAAAGTTTACATGGACAAGGTTATAACATACAACTCATAAAATACTTGTCACACTTCTTGTCCAAATTTACAAAAAAAAAAAAAAAAATCAATATTAGGATTATCTGCATCCTTCCCTAGTTTCAATATTTAGTAGAATTTCCATCCTTTTGGCATACTTTTAGTATACACCTTGAAAGCAAATCCTGCAAGAGTACATAAGTACACATAATTTATTTTTAGCTATCATTAGCTGAACAGTATCCAGTGCTGAGAGAATGTAAATATCTTACGATTTCTAACTTTTCTTCATGTAAATTCTTGTTTTATAAAAATGCTTCTTTTATTATTATTTATGAACAGAAAAAAAACTTATAAACCAAGAAAAACCAAGTAAAGCTTTTTTCAGTTCACAAGTTCAATGACTTTTTTGTAAGGGTGGATACTCAGAAAATACCAAACATTCCTTTATGAGTGTATATAATAAAGAGCTATTTACTTTTGCATTGGAAGTTGCATGATATCAGTGTCTGTGAAAAGATTGGTTAAAAAACCTTCCACTTCCTCCACTGTTCCAGGTCCACCCATATTCATCAGCAATATACCTGTCTTTGTTTTGCTAACAAAAATACATAAAATAAATAAGCAAATCTTACATATAACATTTATAAAACATTCATCTGTATCGAGTTTCTAAATTTAAAATATAGCAATTCTAAAAACACAAATTCTTCACTAAATATTCTAAAATGAATTAAAACATATATTCTTAAAGCTTATAAAATCTAACATAAAATATGCACAGTTTTGTATCCATTCTTTTAACATGTGTGGAAGAAAATGCAAGAGGAAGCTTTAAATTCTAATTGAAACCATTTTTCAAACAGCTGAATAAAATTTTCATGTGTGGAAAGTGGATCAAATCACCGAGAAGGCATTTGAAGAATTATGAGAAATGGCATGGTATTTTTAAAAGGAAAGCAGGACAGACACTGGCATAGGATTGTAAAAACTAGAAAAGCAGTCAAAAACTTTATATCAAGAATCTGGAAACCTTAAAATATTGTATACAGACAACCAGATCAGAATCAAAAATGTACCACAACAGAATCTCAACCATTATTATGTCATATCCAAATTAACAATGAAATGATCTGAATGAAGTCTAATATGTGTTCAACCGAATGGAGAACATTTCTATCATCAACTAGAGATCTGTTACCTGATGCAGTAATTACTTCACAGATACTTCTTGTACATTCTATATTAAATTACAAACTATGACACATTATCATTACTACTTCATAGAAAAACTAAGTAAAGAAAGATAAGAAATGCTCATACAAAAAGTCTATCCATGACACTATTTACAGTAATTTCAAACGTTTGTCATACATAAAAAATACTTCAGCTATTTAGTATAATGCTATTTTGCATACTTTGAAAAGACTTCACGACTAATTTTAATCCTGTTCAATACTGTAAATTAATTGGTTTAAAAATTCTATTTTTTTTTACTCCAATCTAATTACCAGTCAAGAATTATACAGAAAAATTCAGTTACACTTAGCATCACAACCCACCATGTTACATAGTTAACCTCACGTGCAGTCAAATAATTATGCATATTTCATAAGTGCAGAAGTTTGAACATATAATAAAACACAAATAATACTTGTGCCCTCTAGCAAAAATAAGTTTACATGAACAAGGTTATATCATACAACTCATAAAATACTTGTCACACTTCTTGTCCAAATTTTACAAAAAAAAAAAAAAAAAAATCAATATTTTCTGATTATCTGCATCCTTCCCTAGTTTCAATATTTAGTAGAATTTCCATCCTTTTTGGCATACTTTTTAGTATACATACCTTGAAAGCCAAATCCTGCAAGAGTACATAAGTACACATAAATTTATATTTTAGCTATCATTTAGCTGAACAGTATCCAGTGCTTGAGAGAATGTAAATATCTTACGATTTCTAACTTTTCTTCATGTAAATTCTTGTTTTATATAAAATGCTTCTTTTTATTATTATTTATGAACAGAAAAAACTTATAAACCAAAGAAAAAAGCCAAGTAAATGCTTTTTTTCAGTTCACAAAGTTATCAATGACTTTTTTGTAAGGGTGGATACTCAGAAAATACCAAACATTCCTTTATGGCGATAAACTGCTGAAAAAAGTTTACAGATGATGTCAGACCAGATTGCAAGAAGTTTGCTACAGATATGGGAACTCCACTATTCAGATATATCATGAGTGACAGGCTGCCTAATATATCATATATGTCCCACTAACACAAGCTGTGAAATGTGCACAGTTACAATGGTGCAGATATCATCATGATTGAAGCCAAGTTGTCTTTACTAAATAAGGCTTGTCTCTCTTTCTTTTGTGTGTGTGGAGGAAGAATGATTCGAGACATGTTACAATAAGCTTAAATGTCTGTGAAAGGGCATCAGTACAAAGCTGGTGGAATCATGATATGGGCGAATATTATTCTGAATAGCTGTACAGATCTACCGATTCTTACTGGTCCAGCTATGAATGCTGAAATATACAGAGATGGAGTTTTTGATCCTTATGTCAAGCTATTTAGGAATGAAATCAGTAATAACTTCCTCGTATTGAATATAATGCTCATTCATATTGTATTGCAAGAGTGATTGTTTATCTTGAGGATGACACAATCCAGCAGATGGAATGGTCCACATATTATACAGTTTGGTTTATTTGATTATAGCAAAACACTTAAGGGTTGCCTGCCTAAGGGAAGGGATGCCTTCATGAAGGACTTTCAAAAGAAAACTCATAATTTCAAAAGAAAACTCACATACACATAACAGCATGAAAAGGCTCATGCAGCTAGCCCATTCAGTGGGATTTGAGCCCCAGACCAAACTGCTTGTGTTCAGCGACTTTACTGCTCAGATCATATTATATAGATTTTAAATATCATGAACATGTGTCATATGCATTAGGATGCCAGCATACACACACCTTTATGCTCACATTAGCCTTTTTCTTTAGTCAACATCAAACAGTCTTCATCACTGTCACTAAATGTGACAATAATGATAACTATTTACAAATCAGCCATAAAAGTTATGAAAAATAAACAATGATTTATTTGTTTTGATAGTTTGTGATAATTTTTCTCATTAAGCATTTTATTTTAAATTCAAAAAATGATAATAGAAAAAAGTCTGTAAAACAGTTATGATATTAATTTGATAGAACTTTTTTCATTGAGACAGAAATATAGGGTTTTAATGTTTAAGTTTCTCGCTAACCTAGAATCATCATTTACTTCCAGTTCTGTTGCAAAAAGTCAGCTACAGATGCCAAATGATGCTTTAGGTACTAATGTTGTGTCATATGACACTGAGGATTTAGTGCCGAAAGTTCAAAAATAAGGACTATGACATTCAAGAAGCAGAGCACTTTGGCCGGCCTAAAGATGTTGATGAGACCCACCTGCGGAAACTTGTGGAAAAAGATCAGTATGCAACCACTTGAGAGCTTGCTAAAGAGTTAGACATTAGTGCCATGTCCATTAGTCGTGCTATGACATTAGTGTCATGCTATCACGTACACCTGACATAAAGTTCAGTTGCTGGATGACGAATAAGCTGACTCAAGCAGATAAGGACAAACGTGTTCATGCCTGCACTAATCTGCTTGAATAACAAAGGATCAATCATCTGCAAAGACAAAATTCTGGACCTGATTGTCACTTATGATGAAACTGAATTTACTTCAATAACACAGGCCAAACAGGGGGTTGGTTTGCGGCCAGCGAGCCCACTGGCAGCGTTGCATATCACAGTTTGACTAAAAACAGATCATGCTTTGTATCTTGTGGGATTGCCATGCTATTTTCCACAAAAAGTATCTGGAAAAAGGTAAAACCCTCAACAGTAAGGTGTGCAGCGAGATGTTAGTCCATGTAGAAGCTGCTATCAAGGAAAAATGTTGAACTCAGTTCTGGCACAAAAAGGTAATATTCCAGCAAGATAATGCAAGACCACATGTGTCTGCATTCACTGGCTGGCCTCTATACTGACTAAAAGGGACCTTTTGCCACACCCACAATATAGCACCAACATTGCTCCTTCGGACTTCTATCTTTTTTCACACCTGCAGCTACCTCTTGCTAGAACTATCTTCCATTCTGCACAGGGCATTCGAAATGGTGTGGTGTAGTGTATTGAGAATACGGCAAAGCACACTAGGGCTATCTGCCTAAGGGGAGGGATGCCTTCATGGAGGACTTTCTAAGGGAAACTGGCTCGTATACACGTTACACATGGGGAAAACCACGAAAACGCTCATGCAGCCAGTCCGTTTGCGGGATTCGAACCTCGGACTGAACTACCAATGTTCAGTGATTTTACCACTTGGCCGCTGGTGGGCTGGACATTTGAAATGAGGTTGATCTGATTTTGACCCAGAAACATCATGCCCCGATGTTTCTGGGTCAAAAGCTTTGAAAAACTACCAAAATGTTGAGAGAAAAATCATAGATTTGTGTGGTGATTACTACGCTCACTAAAAATACTGCTTTTATGTTTTTTCCCCCTTCTTCTAACTTGATTAACATTTTTGGGTGGAAAACCTTCATTACAACCAGATACAGACATAAGAAATATATAATATTCAAAACACAATTTATATTTCATTCTTTTGCATTCTATGAGAGTGCAAATTAATAGTTTTAAAAAACATATTTCTTATTAGTAGCACTGAAAGAAAAATAAATAAATAAAAGGCAAATTGGAAACAATGAATAATTCTTCATAATCCAGTTTTTGAAAATTCCAGCATCAATTTCATAAGAATGTAACAAAACCTTGCATTTCATTTGAATAAATTGAAAAAGCAATAACAAATAAATCCTCCTTTCTTGCTACATATTACAGTTACAATAAATATACAAAGGAATAAGTTCAGAATATATTAACAGATGACACAATAGGCAACTACTGTTTTCTGAGAAAGAACATGAATTTTAAGAAAATATTAAATTATTATTCAGCTAAAATAAGATTATATTAAGATAAGACATACTAAAATAAAATATTATGATTTTAAAAACAAAGACATACTAAAATAAAATATTATGATTTTAAAAACATACTTACACCAATGTTAAGCATTTTAAGCTTGAATACAATAAGTGATATAGAAATCTTCAACAAATAGCATTAAATAGGAAAAAAAAAACCACATTGTTCGTGGTTATACAAATGCATATATGTATACTTGTTTACAAATTAAACTTAAAAAAAATCACAGCGGATATGTTAATTAGAGATCTAACTTTCCTTAAAGAAAATACAAAGACAGACACCCATACAAACATCTTATAAGGTATTTCTCCCACCTTCTTAGCAAGCCTTTGTAGTGTAGTGGTCAGCACGCTCAGCGCGGATTCGAGAGGCCCGTGGTTCAAGTCCCGGCAAAGGCATTGCTCACTTTTCATGTCTCTTGCTTCCAAATAACCTGATGTTTCCACAATGCGCCCAAACTAAAAATGGTGGTAGATGATGATGCTCTACCATCTGGATTTGGTGATTGGGTCCCCTAATCCCCAGTTGCCCTTTAAAAGAGGGAGTACATAAGGTATTTTTCCCGCCTTCTTAGCATGCCTTCATGGTGTAGTAGTCAGCAAACTCGGCACGTATTCAAGAGGGCATGGTTTGAGTCTCAGCGAAGTCATTGCTTATTCTCCATCTCTCCTGCTCCTATATACCTAATGTCTCTACAGTGGTGCCCAAACTAAAAAGGTGTTGGATGATGATTCTTCACCCCCAAGATTTGGCGATTAGGTCCCCTAATCCCCAGTCATCCTTCAAAAGGGGGTATATAAGGTATTTCTTCCGCCTTCTTAGCATGCTTTCGTAGTGTAATGGTCAGCATGCTCAGCACGCACGTATTTGAGAGGTTCGTGATTAGAGTCCCAGCAAGGGCATTGCCAATTTTTCATCTCTCCTGCTTCGAAACAACCTAATGTGTCTACAATCCTCAAGAAATTCCTTACTTGCTAACTATTAAAATGTTCAAAAATTGTTTCTTCCAACAGAATATAACAACTTTTTATAAATCTTAAGTATCCCTGAGCCAAGTTCAAAAGACTTTAACAAAGCACATACTATGCAAAGAATTATGGCCACTCTGGTCATCAAACTTATTAGCAGAGCTAGATTAACGATTAAGCAAAATAAGCCCATGCTTAGGGCATTAAGGAAATGGGGCATACAGAAAAATTCCCATTGCCAGCTTTAACATAGAATGATGCAGATAGACTAAGAGAGGGGGAAAAAAAATGGATAAAAAAAGAGGTGCACATGTATATGGTGCACCAAAATCTTTTAAGTATTTAGGGCCTCTACATCTGGCTATGCTTATTAATATGTAATTTCTACCTACAACCAGTTTTTAGAAAAATTATTGCACTTAAAATTATTTTCAGTGGCATCTGAATGGACTGAAATACCATCACTACAATCTCAAATGATTTCACATTTTAGTTACAGAAAACCCTTAAAACCACTCAGAAAAAAAAAACAAACAGCTACCCTTTTCAACTGCAAGACATTCATTCTGCACCATACCAGATTCAGAGCTTCCTCAGAGAAGTTGTCCATCACTTGCATATTAACAAATTTTTGTGAATCTGAAAGTTTAGCCTGTAGAATAAAGCAACTTATTACCTCGAATTTTCATATATCCAGAAAGGCTGCAATTCCAGAGAGTTTGGATATTTGGGTTTCCCCTGTACTTTAAAGCTACTATTTTTTATAAATAGCAAGATGAAATTCATGTTACATTAATTTATACATCAAAGATTAATTAATAACTTTTTTACCTTTATTAGTACAGCAGAAAATCACAAATACATACAGTTTGGGACCAGACGTTTTAAAACTTCAGCATGTTCTAACTAGAGTTTATTATGAATTACATGGTTATTTTTTTATCAGCTACAAACTTTTGTTGTTTTGAAAATTTTTAAATGTTTTTCTCCTAAAGTACTTTTTTTTTTTTTCCCCCCAGAAGTGATTTCTTCAGTGCTCTATGTATATTATTATCACGATCAAGATTATTTTTAATTGGATTATAACAGTGTCAACAATTCCATCATCAGTAACTTGATAGCGATCAAAGCAATTTGAAAGTTATTTCATCAGAATTTATCATTAAATCCATAATGCCATATTCTTGAAATGCTCATTTTGCATTACTTATTTTTAACAAAAAAGCAGCTCTTTACCCTCTCTAGGATACACTCAATATCTAAAAAATCCATCATTCCACTTTCTTCAGTAAAAAGTGAAAACAGCCAAATGTTCCAGCTAGCAAGAATGACTGGATTACAATAAAGCATGCAAGAGCTATCTGACTAATCAATGAGAGCTTGGAAACTTATAAAATTAGAGTACAGCGATTAATTTAAAAGAATTAAAGAATATTAAACTCAGTATCTCATAATACATAATCTGGCATAAATATTATATTGAAATACAATTTTCTAATTATCTATAATAATAACAATTATGTAAAGTAATTGCAAAAACTTACTTTGTTGTATAGCATCTTTGACCATGTGCACCGATACAAGGGGAACGAAAACTTGCTATGGATTTCCAAACTTTTCTGGCTAAAATTAAAACACAAACATTTTTAGCTGTTAAAGACATAACTATTAAAAAATACCTTTTTTCTACTACTAAAGATTTTTAACACATACATATAATTAAATAAAAAGCAATAATTTTCTCCCTCTAAAATTAAAGCTGAACATTAAAAATTCAGGTACTGTTCCGTTAGAGTGGTGTCAGTTAAAAATGCACCTTTTTTTTTTTTTTTTTTTTTTTTTTTTTTTTTTTTTTGGCCACCAATTGTTTACCAAGTATAAAATTATGAAATAACAACAAAGTTCCAAAGGCTAGAAAAAAATTACTTCTGTAAAAAAAATTTTATTTCATAATTCTTAAAGAAAGTAACTTTTACTTTTTAATTTTTTAATCAAGAGTATTTTACACATAAATAAAAAAATAAAACAAAATTCAATCTAAACAGGTGGCATAAAATTACAAATATCATTCAGTATTATAGAAAAAAAAAATCAGTTTTCGAATATAAACAACTACACATAAATTCTATCAAATATTACTCTAAATGGTGGTGGTGAGCAGTGCCCCGCTGAAATTTATTTCTTCATTTAGCACTGCCCCAGAATTTGGGTACGGCATCCGGTTTCGGGATCTAAAAAATTATAACTGTGATTCACAGTGAAAAGTTCAACATCATAATTCCTCTTTCTTATATCGTTTCTAGCAGTCTGAAAATATTACGTTGCCATCCGGAATGTTTTCCTGGACGGCAGTCATCAATGTTGTAGCACAAAGATCGGGAATGGTGACCAGAAAACATTCTTTGCTTTCCCAGTATAAGCCCCTAATACCCACTGTTCTGGACGAACATATCAAATGTTGTTTTATCTTTTCATGAAAAGGCTTTCGTCTATTTCTATAATTTTGTTGGTTCAACCAATTTTATTTCTTTTACGAGACATAAAACAATTAGCACACACCTCCCTCAAGTAGTTATTCCAACTTACTGTCATATTATAGCCGATTTCTAACTGAAGTTGGCTAAATTCAATCAACATCAATTCCTAACACCACAGATAGATAAAACGAACGGTACTGAGGAAAGAAAGATGGAAGCTTTCAAACCCTGTTTTGGTTCTCGATCCTTTTTTTTTTCACAGCAAAAACATATGTAACAACGCCATATAGGAGCTTTGTTTGAGTCAAAACTTGACTTCATCGGATGATTTTGAGAACAATGACAATTGCTATGAATTATTCCTTTGTCCTGAAGGAATCTTTATGGCAGCCTCTTTATCATTAGATAATTTCCAAATTGTGCCATACTAAAAAAATGGCAAAATATAGAAAAAAAAGTAACGTGTGATGATATTTCAAATGAAAACTAGAAATCTCGAGCCACAATATTTGCCGTGTTGTTGTAGTACATTGTTTTCTTCTTATTTTTTCTTCACTTTTAACTGACACTGCTCTAATTGAATACTAGTAGTACCGAAATTCAATCCTTTAAATAAAAAAAAGAAAAATTTTCAGTTACATGCATTTTATCAGTACATGCAAATTGACTAATTATAATCGGTACTTATACTAGCACTGCTACCTCAACCAACTTCTCCATTTTCATTCAAATTATTTTTGTTGTATACCAATTTCTAACATTTTTTAAGTCAACAAATTGTGACATTTTTTGCCTTAAATTCAATTTTAAAATATGTGCTTGTAGGATTTGCCTGCTATGAAAGAAACAGTAGAAACTACTAAGAAATACAATATTTTTCAGCAAAACCTGCTAATAGGAACAATACCTTAGACCTGTTCTTAAGATATTACAAAATTTCCATCAAAACAAAAGAAATAAAGCAGCATGTGATAACTGATAGGTTTATTCGTTGATTTTTGGAATAAATACCTGATTCACATACAAAATGTGTATGCAAATAAATAAGTTTTTGCCACTCATTATTCTTTCTCTTCTGTAAAAAATTGCAAAACTGTGCCAAAGTGATTGCGTGAATATGTAAGTACCTTATAGTTGTCATCTGAACTAATGAACACTCCCTGAATTCGAGAAGTTTTGATGACAGACACAGTACAGATTGTTAAAATCTTCTGAGACTGGACTATGGCGCTTTCATAATGTCAAGTGGAGGCATTACTGAACAAGTTACTGATTCCATAATGTCAGAGCATATCCTCTCACACATTGTAACAGTTTGAAGATTGCGACCTATAAGGGAATAGCACATATGAATTTCTCATCTTTGTGAAGTCCACTGCAGGAAATACAAATTCGATGGAAAAGAAAGATGATAAAACACATCTGGTGGAAATGAAAGATGCTTCACAAAGATAGTAATAACAGTATTCTAAATTTACTTTACAATAACACAAAGTCATTAAGTGAATCCCCATTTAATTTCAGTAAACTCTGGTGACCCACACAATCACAGAAATAATATTAACTACTGAAGAACTACATATTAATTGCTAAAATCAGTTATGGAGGAAAAGCTTACAGAATTTTAAAATATACTAGTTTGATATATGATTTTTAATTCTGCAGTTGTTTTAAAAGCTCAGTTAATTTCAGATGAAGATGTTAAATCAAAGCTTTTCAAACTTTTCCTTGTATTGATTTACATTTTTCTTGACAATATACAGCATATTACATAATTATAATAAAAAATTGCATATAAATAACTTAGGACACCAATTAGATTAAGAATATTAATAATCGTTTGAAAAAATGGTTTATTAGTTTTAACTATTATTATTTTTTGTATTATAATCATGAATTTTACAGATATAAACAAGTTTCCAAAACCAAAGCACAGATACTATTTGCAAAAAAGTTTAATTAATATTATGGCCGCGTTTGATAAACTGATGCAATTTTCTTCATATCTGACATCAGCAGCTTAATTTCAAAAACACACAATTCAAAAATAACCTGTTTCCTGTTTTTCATTGTAAATTATTGATTTGATTGAAGCCTGCTTCTACTGGGTAAGATGAGGAGAAAATCAATAATGTATTCAATGCATTCACCTCTTGGGTAAAAATATATATCAGGGTGTCCCTTGGGGAAAATTCACGATTTTTGGAGATTAGCCAGCAAGGCACAATTTTGAAGATAGCCGCTATACAAAACCAAAATAACATGTCAAAGAATTGCACAAACTCGGTGTCCATGTACACATCAACCTATTTTCACTTTAAAAAAAAAATCGGAGAATGGCACAAACTCGGCATTGCGCACTGCCTTCACTTTGATCTATTTTCACTTTAAAAAAAATCAGGAGAATGACGACGTCATATAAGGTTAAAACAAACTTACTCATCAGCAAAACATATAGAAAATTGATGCTCCATAAACTGCATTTTAAATCGCATAATAATATAAGATAATCGCATAATAATATAAGATAATCGCATACATAATAATATAAGATAAAAAAGGAAATACTTATTATCTTATACACGCACTACAAAAAAGAAAAATCGACTTACCTTATTTAAAAATTTCTGTGTCACGCAAAAGTTCTTAACAGCATCCAAAAACTTTCTAAAATTATCTGAACTAGAATGTGCATACTGCCGTCGCCACATAAATTCACAAAAATAAGAGTAAAAAATATCCTCCACATTGCTGGACTGTCAGTGGCATTTCTTCCAAAAATCCCTTTTTATTACATTCCACATACCTTCAAGAGTGTTGATATGAGCTCTGGTTTCTGGATTCTTAAATGTCACTGAATTATTTACTGAGAAATGAATGAAGCCTTTATCAAAAAGACAATCGTATGACTTCCAGCAGTTGGATATGATCATTGTTCCACGTAAAATATTCAGCTGAATTACATCAAACAAAGTTTCTTTTCTTCTGTCCTCAATCGCTTAAAAAAAAAACACCTTCCGCTCTTTTGTTCCATACCACCAAACACCCAGTTTACCACCGGCAGCCATTTTACGATGCAAAGCACATAATATGAAACATACTTCCTAACCGACATCCAGCGCAGAAATAAGCCCTTACAAATAATTTCCCATCAATCAAATTCACCACAATCAAGCAACCAATCACGTCATAACAGGGTTTCCGTAACATTCAACTACTCAGGTTATCATAAATGAAACAACAATTTGGCAATAAATGAAACAAATTGGCAATAATTCAAGGGGCAACCTAAATTATAGACTAACACTTGCATCTTAAAATCAAAATCAATCACAGTCCAAAGTCATTAATATAGACACCCATAATCTGGTGCAGATTGTGCTGTTCCTTAATCTTCGAATTGGATTCGGCTTATTATTTTTTGCAGACTGTTAGAGCAATTTTATAAAAGTAAGCTTGAACTTTCGATTATGTCAAAGAGAATTTCCGATGCTGGAGCTGCCAAAGGATCTACAAAACGAAAGTATGTTTCGATGTCCATCAAACAAAAAGTAGAATTGCTGCAAGAAATGGATAAAGGCATATCCTTTGTTTCTCTAACCATTCTGAAATCTGTTTATCAATTTCACGCTGTTCTGCGCGAGGGGGGGAGAACATCATGGCACGCAATGAATTGGAAGTTGATCTGTCAGCACTATTCTTATCTTCAGGGCAGATTTTTTTATTTATTTTGGCTTATAATTCCTTACTAAATGTAGTATTTCATCTCGATGTACTCCGTCTTTGATATGATTTAAAATCAATTCCTCGTCATTATAATTCGCTTCCGATAGTGAAGAAAGTGACACAGAGGTTATTGAAAACGAAAAAATTTCGATTGACAAATTAGTCGGTATTCTCGACACAGCAATTATAGGACTTGAACAGCGGTACTTTGTAGCTGAACAAAAAATTATGTCTGTTTATCCTCACATTCTTTTGCTGACAAGAACTCTGCTTGCTCTCTGTCAGCTTATGAAGGAGTCATGTGATGAAAAAAAATCCTTTACAAATATTCTGCAGTAGGTGCAAATCCCTAGGAAACTTCTTAGCTGATGGACTTTTTCAAAGTGTCTCCAATCTTTACTCCTGACACTTTTTCTGGATCCATAGGCACACATTCGGCAGAGATGATACATACAAGTCACTTCTTATCTGAACAATTTACATTTGACGGAGCTTAATTTTAGATTGGCATTCTCCAATTTCTGCAGCAATTTCATAACATTTTCTAAATGTTCTTTAAACCTATTACCAAGGATGATGATGTGTCATCCAGGTATATCAGACAGACTTCGAAGGAAAGACCTCTCAACACACTCTCCACGAGGCCTCTGAATGTCACTGGTGCATTACATAATCCAAAAGGCATCACCTTGAACTGTCAAAATCCTTGTCTGGTAGTAAATGTCATCTTTTCTCAATCATCATGGTATATCTCTACCTGCCAATATCCACTCTTTAATTCAAGTGTTGAAAACCACTTGCTTCCAGAAAGTGTTAAGAATGTCATCAATTTTAGAGCGTGTATGAGTGGTTCCACGGGTAAAAATTGCCACTAGACAAAGACAAAATAACAAGTCAAAGAATTGCACAAACTCGGTATCCATGTACTGCCAAAAATCGGCAACTTTCGCCAAGGGATACCCGTAAATATACTTTTCCCCCAGAATCCACCACTGATCGTACACCTATAGTCCTGCCACATTGACTGCGCTAATCAGCTTCGCTGCAATTTCAAGAAAGAACACTATGTGTGGAATGAGGATCTTCTATGCCTCTTCCCCTACTATCAACTTCTTGAGAGGACTTTCTGCTCATCATGTACTTTGAATCCCTCTGACTAAATGTTTATAAACTTCCATGCCTTCTCTGGAATTCAAAGACAGGCCTGCCGGTATGGCATTCAGTGTCTCTAACCACTATACCGGTTAAGCAGCTCAAAGCAATCACAAAAATGTAGCCACAAAAGTTATGTGAGAAGTAAACATGAACTTGGCCAAAATTGTGGTGCTAGGCATTTAAAAAAAGAGAGGCTATAATAATAAAGTGCAAAGGTTTATATCTGAAACCTGCATACATTAAAAAATACGATTCATCATGATGTGGATTCCAATTTTTAAAAAAACGTTGGATGCATTCGTCAGGGCGTAGCTAGAGAGGAGGCAAGGGGGCATCTGTTCCCAGACACAGAATCGAAGGGGCACCAAACTGATGTTACGACATTTTAGAATTAAATGTTTTCCATCCTTGGCAAGCAGTAGGGGGCGCGAAATCTTCAGTTGTCTAGCTACGACTCTGGCATTCGTAAAATAAAATATCAGCATATAATAACTTCCAATCAGAGATTTATTTCATTTCACTTAATATCTAAATTTAACATAAATCTTAACTTATGTTTTTCAAATTTTCTTACATAAATCAATTATAATTTACCTTGCTAATTACAATAGAACTAAATTTACACAATTTTTAAACAAATTCACAGTATACAAAACTTCGGCAGTTTCAAATACTTAATCATTTAATACATTAAAAATACACTTTACTTTCAAAGCTCTCTATAAAACTGCAGATATATAATGTGCATTTCTCCAATGTTAAGCTCAGAATGTAAAACACTTTCAACCAGTACATGCATTTTAGTACATGTAGTCAGCCTCATTTAAAAGATTAAAAAAAAAAAGATGGGGCAGCTCAATTCCTTTCTTCACTTTTTTTTACGGAAGCACTTCTGCAGAGAACCCGGTAAATGTAAACATTGCCAACGTTGGCGATAATAGTTCAAACCTGGTAACCCAGAGTATTATCCCATTCACTTGTTCGAAGTTTGCAACTATTCCTCTTGCATTCAAATTTTGTTAAATATCACTGTCGTTGTTTGCATTTGCAAATTTATATTATTCTTCTCTTATTTATATTTTTCTGCATTTTTTAACAAACGAATAGATAGAAATATTTCATAGATAGCTGCCGGTTCTTGGTTCGGGATAAAGGAAGAAAAATACGGCGGGAAGGGTGAATGCTAATTTGTAACATGGCTGTTCACTTTGTGTTCTTAATTATTAACAGCTCTAATAACCATGAGGTTTCCAACCTTTAAAATAATTTGTTTTCGTAGGCTGCAAAAATGTGCATGTGCATTTTAAATATTTAAGTAATGCTTTTATTTTTATTATTGTCATCTAAAATTATGAGAATAAATAAATTTTTATGGCGTAAAATTTTAACAAGATAATATATTGTTAATGCTTTTCTAACAATAACCTTTCAGAGGATGGCCAGGTGTGACATTAACTATAGCTGATTAAATTGAAATAAAACATTATTACTGATTATCTAAGATGACAGAATAGTTTGATACATCGCCCATAGTCATCAAAATTAGCAAACCACTGCTGGTGTAATGAATATATTGTTTTCTGAGTTAACTGTAATTTAAGACAAATTTTTTTCGTTATCACGTTTAACCAGTTAATTTCAGTATATTAATACTAATGGTACTATCGTTTTGAGGGCCGTAAAAAATCGTCCCAAACTATTGTTGATGGCAGAGCTGCCAAAAATAATTCTGGCAACCTTAACACAAGAAAGGAAGTATAATAGTAAATAACTATTTAAGATTGATGTTTTTAATTTAGATGAAAGGTTAATTTCATATAATACTTTTTATTATTATAATTTATGGTAAAATCTTAGTATACGGTGCAGCCTTGGCGCGATTTTGAAAATTATCGGCAACACCAAAAATGACCCAAACAACGTCTATATATATATACTATACACACATAGTATATGTATATACACACATACTAGTATATATACTATATACATAGTATATACTATGTTTAACTATATATTTTCTTTGAATGACCCGTTAACTACTCATCATATATGTCCCGTTTTCACTGCTCATCATAAAGTCGCCAAAAGTAGTCAAATCCCGTGTGCACCGGATACTAGGATTAAACCATAATTTATATAAAAAAGGCTAAACATGACTGAATGGAAGCATAAGAGTAAATAACTATTTCAGATTATAATTTATATAAAAATTGCTAAACATAACTGAATGGATGCCTGCATTGCTATTTCGCTACCGAGTTATCGCTAAAGCATAATTTCATCTCATTGGTTTTCAAACATAATTTTCTATAATGAATGATGCCTTTTCTTTCAAAAAAATTATCGGTAAAGTGCAGAATTGCCCACTTATTTGTTTGCCGCTTTTTACAAGGGTAAAAACAACTGGATTTTTGTCAATTTTCTTTTACTTTTTAAGTGAAAATAGGTCGATGTGTACATAGACAAAGTCAAGGGTGTGCGCAGTGTCATTTTTGTGCAATTCTGGGATTTTTTTTTTTTTTTTAAGTGAAAATAGGTCGATGTGTACATGGATACCGAGTATGTGCAATTCTTAAAAATGCATCAAGCAGTGGGTGATTCTGCACTTTACCCAAAATTCTATTGCAAACTTTTCATCATGGGCAATTCCCAAATTGTTTAATCCATAGGATATCAAAAAAAGATTTAAAATCAAAAAAGTATTTAAAAATTAAACTATTATTTCAATGGCGTCTTAAGAAATATAGAACTATATAAACTTACGCAATCTGAAATCAGAGCGTACGCTAGATTTGGCGCTTTTGCGCGTACGTTTTCGCTGCAATTTTTTACGGTTCCCGAAACGGAATAGTATGTTTTTTAAATGATTTTTTATTTCCGTTATAAATGCTTCTCTGCTAACTTGAATTTAATACAAATTTATTTTCGTATATCGCGTTTAACCGGTTAGTTTTATATCTACATGCGTATTATCTGTGAATTTTTACTACCATGTGCGTAATATATTGTTTTGCCTGCTAACGTCAATTTACATGCACTAAAAATCACGTTTACAGTTCGGCTCATCGTCGATGAACCGCGAGCTTGGCGAGTAAAAATGCAACGGCGCCAACGGGTTCTCTGCGGATGAAAACCCTTTTTTACTTACCTTTTATTTAAGTTTAATTTGTCTTTACGTAATAATTACAACACCCCAAAAACCTTACAACAATTTCTATCACATTTATTTACAATTTAATGGTTGATCTTTTTTGTGTAATATAGGGTGATCTTTCTAGCGTACTATAATTGACAAAAAAACATTTACAACGTAAGCATCTAAGTATTCTGAAATCATCCATAAAATAAGTACACTATTTAGTAAATCCTTTCATTTATCTCATCATGTAGAAACTTAGTAGAAAAAAGCTCTAACCTTCATTACGCATTGAACAAGTTATTGCATCGGACACACAATTCCATGCATATTTTTCAAACATCATAACTTAAAACTCCTGAAAACAGATTACCACATCTACACACGTCCACCACACTAGCAGACAAATTTTTATGACGAATTGTTAAGCGATCGTTCACCAGATTAGGTATCTGAAATTAAGTCTTTTTGCCTACTAGTTAAATGTTAATAAAAAAAAAAAAATTTAGTTACTATAATTCCGGTTGTTTAGAATCATAGATATTGTAATATATCTAATATATTTTGTGTATGGTGACGCCGTATTTTGGCAGTTATCAAAAAATGAAATATTCAGCTTTCTTTATTGTGAACACAAACGTATCAAACTCATAAACGCGAGACTGTTTTTCATGCATGTCCTAGTAAAACTTCGAATATACGGCAGAAACGTTTTTTATTCCGGAAAATATAGTGTATAAAATCTTTATAAGGCTAGAAGTACGCTTTTAAGAGCGTGTTAAAATATGCGTGCTGATGTTTAATTTTAATAATATTGTGCATTAAAATAAAATATGCGCGTTGCTAAAACAACGCGGCATGCGCGACCAGCCGTCACCATCGAGATAGATAAGGCCTGCGCTCTGAAACGAAACTGGCTTGTGACGTCACGGTTAGGAGACCCTCAGCAAATTTTTTGTTGGCTTTTATAAGTTGTAATTTTTTATCCATTATGTTTTAAGAATTGAATTTATGTTACTTTTGACATCTGAAGCATCATCTCTTGTAATAATTACTAACACTAGTAATATAAAAATTGTCAGCAAAATTTATGATTATTTATTTTAATTGGAAACAAATTTTATATGAAATAACTGTCTGAAGGGGTTAAAAGCATAACACTTATTTCATTACATAATATGTAGAATATCAAATGCAGAGTAAATTTGATTCTTAACAGAGTACTGTGTTCTTAAATTTAAATATCAATGTTTTTTGCAAATCGTTAAATATCATTTATCATGATGAAACTTAAATGCATATGTTTAGCTAATATAGATTCTGTTCACTTTTATATATGTTATTATCATGCAATCAGTTTGTTTAAAATTTGTTATGCAATAAAATCTTTCTTTCTGAGAATGATAGAAAAGTTTCTAAAGTAATGTATGTAAGATTCATATTAAGGTAATTAAATTGCGAAACTGCAAATGAAATTTTAAAAATGTACAGTTATTGAAGAAGCAGTAGTAATTGAATTCATATGTAGACATACTTGTTTCATTGTATTCAATTCAATGCAATTTAAATTTTTTTTTTTTAAATTATCTTTTAAAATTACAATCTTTAATTTGAGTATGTGGCCACCACCAAAAGCTATGCAAGTTAAGTTAAAAAATTGCTTACAGAAAAGTTTTGAACATGATGTTAGGATTTATATTTTCTTTTCATGTGGATATTAACAGAAAAAATATTTTCAGAACAGAGGTAACGCTTATAGTTAAATAGGTATGATGCAAATATTTGCAAGAAATTTCAGTTTCTAAAAGTTTTTAAGTATTTCATATGTTTTTAAAATATTGTAAAAAAAATTGTGTATAACTTATTTAAAAACTTTTTTCCGTCTATATTTGAATTTTAATAATATTGATAATCTTCAGAGCTATGTAAAAACATTATCTCAATTTACCTACAGATTCTGTCGAATAATTATGTAGCATTAAGAGGAAAACATTAACTGTAATACAGATTAACGTACAATATGTAAGTAAGAAATAATTTTAAGACTACACTATTTAGTAATTTATTACATTCAGAAAAATTTTCTCACTGATATAAGGCATTTAAATGTTAGTCTAAATATTAAGTAGTCTCTGTATTCGTTTGATGTTTTTATAGTCCTGCTAAATTAATATGATAGATATAAAAAATATGCAATAATTATAGAATGAGAGATAACATGTGTTCCCACTGGCAAACATTTTGTTAAAGTAGTGGGTGAAACAAAAAATTTGATGCGGTGATGAGAATCGACGAGAGACACAAGAACAGTGCAGAAAAATCAAAGTAAAAAATTTTAGCTACTTGAATTTAAAACCAATTTTTCTTCAAAGAAATGATTTGCTTTAAAAAGCACCAACACCATTCTCAAATAATTTTGTTTTGAAAATAAATACCAACAAAAGAAAATGAAAATATTCATATTCGTATAAAGCTTTGTAAAACATTATATTGCCGCTTGTAATTTTGTTTTAGACTGATTTTATAGTACGAGATACCAATTTCATAGATAGGTTTAGAAAAACGGGTGTTAGCAAGGAAGCTAAACTCTGCGCGAAGACCGGTCCCCTAGCAGTGACGTAGTAATTCAGCGAGCAGGCCTTATCTATCTCGATGGTGACGGACCAGCACGACTCTGATACCGGTTGACGCAGTTGATCGAGTCGGCATAATAAAGTGGACAGGAGGGCGCTGTGATCACGTACGATGGAATCAGGATCTTGGAAGAGCTCTTGAATTTTCAAAGGTGTTTCCGAAAAATCTTCATTTATTTAGAAAATTTTCGAATATCCTCTGCATTGTCTCTTTCAAGGCGGGTCCCTGTACCTGGGGGTCTTTCTTCTTGATCTTTATTTTCTCATTTTATTATGTCTGCATTAATATTATAATGCTTTATCATGTGGTTTTTTGGTTCATCTCGGTTTTCGGGGGAACGACATAGTTTTGAAAAGGTCTTAGAATATATTTCTTATATTTCATCCTGTCGCTGACTTTAAAACTTCTTTCCTTCAGATTGGGGGACGATGATTCGTAATAGGCGAGAGGAGCGGCTGTGGTTTGAACAATATGAACTTCGTCCTCAGCCGTCGTTCTCACTCACTCCAAACGTAAAATATCGTTTCGTGAGAAAAATATTCTTCCACCGAAAACTCGTGCGCGGATCTGTATATCGCCGGTCTGTTTGAATGGGCCGTCTCAAAGCTCGATCCATCCGATTCCAAGAGAAGGGAGATTCCTCTTTCTTTCGTTTGTTGCGATTCGAATAAATTTCTGTATATATTCTGAACGAGCAGGTTGGAGGATTCGACATCTTGGTTGAAAGAAACGATCGCTTGATGAGGTGGTAAATGCGGAATAAATGTCGCACAATGACACGCCAAAAAATTTTCAAGTTGGAGATTTGCTTTAGCGTCTTCAAATCCTCCCCGTTCGAAATCCGTTGAGTTGGAAAAACGTCTAATAGCGACATGGCTCCCAATGGAAAAGAAATGATCTCGCCCAGTACTCTCGTCTTTTTATATATCTATATAGACACACACAGACACACATAGAGGCTCTATGACGTCCGTTTTATTTGTTTTTTTTTGTTTTCTCTCTCTCTTCTTTCCAAGAAATCTTATCTCCATGACCTCTTTTTCTTTTCTTAAAAAGATGAATGTGTGTGGGAATGAGGAAGTGAAAGTAATAATTTAATAAACAAAAAATTATCCAACCATGACCTTCTTTTTTTTTTCAAAGTCAACCCTTTCCAATCCAAGGACGTCCAGAGATAGAGGAAGCAGGGAGAGAGGAGGAGGGAAGGGAAGGTCACACTCTCTTTCTCTCTATAAATAAAAGGGGAGAGCCCCAAAGTCGTATTTTTGTCCAAGTGGATCATGAGGAGGCATCCCCAGCTCACTACGTGTATTCCTTTCAAATATAAATATGTTGATCTTTCCTTTTATATCATCCAAGGAGTCGTTTACCTGAAAGCCTCCGATTTTTCAAAATGTGCGGGTTATTATACCGTGGGGAGTTATCAAAAGATGCGGGACGAATTTTTGTCCGACGAAAACGTGTTGATGGCTCGTGACATTCCACCTTTGGATGCACAAATTTTGTTAATGAAACGAGCCAAATATTTTTACACGTCCCACTTTCTAACCGTCTCGCAAATGAATAGGATTATGGATCGTCTTGAGAAGACAAAAGGGATTCTCGTTCATTTTAGTGAATGGTTGCACAAATGTTTGCACGAACCTCTCTCGATCGAGAAGACTGGGAAGAATACCTATTATATTCTTCTCGAGGACTCTCCTCCTTCGTCTCATCATTAGAGAGGCCACGACTTTTGAAAAAATCCTCGAGCAAGAAAAAATAGAATGGTGGAACAACTACCCCATCCCTCTCCCCGAGCATCAAGAGGAGCCTGTTCAGAAGAAAAAGAAAAAACCTTTCCAAAAGCCTATCCTCATCCTCCTCGATAATGATGGGGATGAGGAGAAGCCTGTTCAGATTCCTCTCCGTTTGTCAAAACCCGTCGAGGATGAAAAACCTCTCCCTTCCTCAAAACCCCTTGAGGAAGAGAGACCCCTCGAGAAGGAGAAATCTCTCCCATTGTCAAACCTCCTCGAAATGAAAAACCTCTCCCTTTCTCAAGACCCCTCGAAGATGAAAAACCTCTCCATTTATCAAGACCCCTCGAAAATGAGGGACCTCTCGATTTGTCAAAACCCCTCGAGGATAAGGGAACCAAAACTTCTCTCTCTTTCGAAGAGGAGGGACCTCTCAATTTGTCAAGACCCCTCAAGAATAAGGGAACCGAAAATCCTCTCCCTTTCTCAAGACTTCTCGAGGAGGAGGAGGAGGAGAGACCGCTCCATGTCTCAAGACAGGACCCCCTCTATCTCTTGAGGATCCGAGGGAAACGATTCCTATTGAAAAACCATCTATCGACGATCCCCAGAAAAGGTCTTCGGAGGAGATTAGACTTCCATGTAGAAAACGAATCTGCCACAATCATCATCAATAATAATAATAATAATAATAATAATAATACCCCCCCCTTCTCAACAACAGAATCCTACAACATTTGCAGATAAATGCATTCAAACCAATCCCTTTATAGTAACCCTTTTGATTGGAGAACCCGTGCATTAGCCTCGAAAAATAAAATGAGATTCTAGACTGTTTCTATGACCAGAATGTTAAGCCAATAGATAGGTCTAGCTCAGAATTTTTCTTTTTAAAAGAAAATAAATAAATAATCCAAAGACTATTCGTAAATATAAATGGTAAAGTCTCGAGTCGGCTGGAAAAAAATTTTCAGAGCTGAGAAAAATTCTACAAACTCAAAAAAAAAAAAAAAAAAAAAAAAAAAACTTTTTGTTAATTTTTATCATGTCTTAGAC